TATTCCTTATGGGAGGGTGCATTCACTGTCCACCTGTGCTTTTACTCCTGAGTCGACCCTTGTTCCTTAACTGTTCCCTTCTCCTGGCAGCTCTGTGCATGCGCACCCTGGGAACAGGCTCCAGCTGTTCTTCTTCCCCACTGATCTCAGCTGATAACTGTCAGATGGCCTTGGCTCATCAGAGCCTTCCTCACACTCCAGGACTGGCCCATGTTCCTCCCCAACCTCCTCACTGTCCAAGTCTGCCGCCAGCGCCACTGGCCACTGGTGGGCCACAACAGAAAGCATGAAGACCTCTGAGACCTACAAGCCTAAATGCCCCCTCCCCAAAGAAATGTCAAATGCCTCCTTTCAACTCAGTTTTTTGAAGTTTGGCTCAAGAGTCATGATTTAATTGGGGCGATTGCTGGAATCCTGACACTGTCGTTTGTTGTCAGCCATTAAGCCGAGCCAGGCCTGCATCCACCCTATGGATCAGCCCTCTCCCTGCCCCTCTGACCCACACCACCTCCTTCAGATCCACCAGGGCCATCACGGTGCTGTCCTTTATAGTGTCCAGCTAGTGGGTACTGGGGGGGGGGGCTTCTCCTTTTTCCACTGGTTGTTCCCGGCATGACTGACTTTTCAAGGGAGTTAGCTTGCATGACACGACCAAAGTAAGGCAGCCCCTGTTTAGTGATCTTGGCTTCCAGGGATATTTGGGGTGAGGTTTGGTTTTTGTTTGTGATTTTCGCTGTCTGTGGGATGCGTAAGAGCCACCTCCAGCATCGCGATTCCAAGGTGCCCACCCTTCTCCTTTTGGCTCTTTTCAGAGTCCAGGTTTCCCAGCCATAAGTAGCAATCGGAAACATGATGGCGTTAATTCATTTCAAATGATCCAAGCCCCAGAGCTCACTTTGGTAACAGCATTACCAAAAAGGCATGAAGAATTGTTAATCTAATTTTGCGAAGTTTCTTCTCCGGTAACATCGAACTGCAAACCAGGGCATACAAAACCTTTGCCAGACCAATTCTCGAATACAGCTCATCGGCCTGGAATCCACAGTGTATAACAGATATTAATACAATCGAACAAGTCCAGAGGTACTTCACGAGAAGAGCCCTCCAGTCCTCTGCTCGCAATAGAATACCTCCAGGCTCAAAATTTTGGACCTGGACCATCTAGAACTACGCCACCTGCAGTCTGATCTAAGCTTAGTACACAAAATTGTCTGCTACAACGTCCTACCTGTTTCAGCTTCAACCGCAATAACACACGGGCAAACAATAGATACAAACTCAAAGTAAACCACTCCAGATTCGATTGCAGAAAATACGACTTCAGCAACGGAGTGGCAAATGCCTGGAAGTCACTCCCTGACTCTGTTGTTACATCCTCAAAACCCCAAAACTTTTAACCTTAAACTGTCTACCGTGGACCTCGCTCCATGCCTAAGAGGTCTGTGAAAGGGGGCATAAGTGCACCAGCGTGTCTCCCATCCCTGTCGTACTGTTCCCATTTGCTCTAGGTTGGGCCTCCGACGAGTTTCCACCCGCTGCTTCTCCCAAGCACTGCAGGTCTGATCGCAGGGCTGCAGCCCCCCCTGAGGGTGTCAGGGGGCCTTTGGGGGGTCCTCAGGCGCCGTCCCCTCTGCTTGGCGTCTGGCTGACTTTCCTACCGCACCAGGAGGTTGCTGGTGGGCATCTGGCGGGCACAGAGCTGAGGAACACATGGAGCCCCAAGTCATTTCATACAGACAGTCCTCGGTGGGTTGGACTAGATGACTCACAAGGTCCCTTCCAACACCGTTATCCTGTTCTGACTTACAACCAGCTGTGTAAATGACTGTTCAAAGTTAGGACGGACCTCTCCTGGGTGATTTAGGATCTGGGTTTCAAATTCCATGGTCATGCCATCACATTTTGGGCACCGGCAACTGGTCCCCATTTATGGCCATTTATAGTGTTCTCTGATCCTCTGATGGCAATTTGCAACATTTCCCACCCACCCCTCCCCAGAAACTGGCTTTTACTTCTGATTTCTGGCAAAAAAACAACAACAACTACCTAATGGCAGACAATGGATTCGCTTAATGACTGCCACATTTGCTTAATGACCATGGCAATTGACTTCAAAACAGGTCCTAAAATTAGGCGCTGCTTAAGGACCAGCATGACTTACAAGAAAATTCCAGTCTGAATTCCATATGAAGAGCTACTTGTAATGTGCTAAAACCAACACACAAGAGCCGGTTAGGCGAAGCTATTGTGCAAAAGGAGAGATCTGGATGGCTGGGATTCCCTGCCAGCTGAAGGGTGTGTGTGGGGGAGAATCCACCTGCCGAGCTCTCTAATCCACGATCATAATCCCATCCGTAAGGCAAACTGCTTTGAACTTTTCTACAGAGGGGAAAGGCTACTTCTAAATGCCGCAGAGGCCGGTCCTTTCTCTTCCTGCTTACCTCTGGGCTGCAAATGCTGCAAGCCAGCTTTAACTGAGATTAACTGAGCTATTGAGGCTTCCAAAATAGTTAGACATGCTGTTTTCCTGCTGCAGCAGGAAACTGGGGAGGGAGGACCCTCTCTTAGACCAGTAACGTTTCTAAACAGGAGGAACTCAGAAATCCAAGACAAGAGAACAGAATAATAAGAGTTGGAAGGGACCTTGGAGGTCTTCTAGTCCAACCCCCTGCTCAAGCAGGAGACCCTAGGTCATTTCAGAGAAATGGCTGTCCAATCTCTTCTTCAAAACCTCCAGTGATGGAGCACCCTCAGCTTCTGGTGGCAGGCTGTTCCACTGGTTAAATGTCCTCACTGCTAGGAAGTTTCTCCATAGTTCTAAGGTTGCTTCTCTCCTTGATTAGTTTCCATCCATTGTTTGTCTTGTTTTACCTTTTGGTGCTTTGGGACTTTGGTTGACCCTCTCTTCTTTGTGGCAGCCCTGATCTGATGCTGGCTATAGATTTTGACTTGTATCCCAAGTTCCAGAACTGAGACTTGTTGTTTTTTCTAAAAGGAGGAGGAGGAGGATGACAATGGCAACGACAAAAAAGTTTGAACAGTGGACGCGGCAGTGCCTGGAGACAGCAGAAGAGAAAAAGCTAGAGAAGGTAACAAAATACAAAGACCTACAAATAGAAATGGAATGACTATGGCAAAGGCAAGCAAGGGTAGTACCCATAGTCATAGGCACCTTGGGTACAGCCCCAAAACAACTGGGGCCACCACTTGAACACCATCAGTGGCATTGACAAATTTCCCATCAGTCAATTGCAGAAGGCAGCTTTACTTGGAACAGCTTCTACCCTGCGACGAGATCTGTAACGCTGTCAAACAACCAGATTTCCCTATCCCAGGTCCTTGGTAAGAACTCGATAGAGAGGCGAAAGTGCCAAACCCAGCCTGAACATCTGGCTGACTGTGTAATAACAACAACAACAACAATTATAATTAGAACAAGCCATCAGAACGAATGCAATCAAAGCCAGAATAGAAAAATCTGCTGATGACCCCAAATGCAGACTCTGCAAAGAAGCGGACGGAACCATCGATCACATACTGAGCTGTTGCAAGACAATCGCTCAGACTGACTACAAACAACGTCACAACACAGTCGCTCAGATGGTCCACTGGAACTTGTGTCGCAACTACCACTTGCCTGCAGCAAAGAACCGGTGGGATCATAAGCCTGAAAAAGTGGTCGAAAATGAGCACGCAACAACTACTGTGGGACTTCCGAATACAGACTGACAAAGTTTTGGAACACAACACCCCGGATGTCACAATTGTGGAGAAGAAAAAAGTGTGGATCGTCGACATTGCCATACCTGGTGACAGCAGAATCGACGAGAAACAACTTGAAAAAGTCACCAGATATCAGGACTTGAGAATCGAACTGCAGAGACTCTGGCATCAACCAGTGCAGGTGGTTCCAGGGGTACTGGGCACACTGGGTGCTGTGCCTAAAGACCTAGGCAAGCACTTGAAAACAATTGGCGCTGACAAGATCACCATTGGTCAGCTGCAGAAGGCCACCTTACTGGGATCTGCTCGCATAATCTGCCGAGACATCACTCAGTCCTAAATGCTTGGGAAGTGTTCAACTAGTGATTTGTGATAATAAATCTAGCATAGTTATTTCATTTGCTGTGTACACTGTTGTTTTTTCTGAATAATAATAATAACAATAACAATAATAATAATAACTTTCGAATACAGACCGATCGTCATTTGGAACACATGACAGATATCACAGTTGTCAAAAACCAAAATGTACAATTTATTGATATTGTAGTACCAGGAGATGCCAGAGTCGAAGAAAAATAATTGGAAAAAGTAACAAAATATCGCAACCTAGTCATTGAAACTACACGATTATGGATGAAACATGTAATAGTGATACCCATTGTCATTGAGGCACTTGGTACCATGACCAAGAATTTTATAAAATACATCAAGAAATTGCAACTTCCTGCAACAACACCAACGGAACTGCAAAAAAACCTGTGCTCCCGGAACATCATACATCTTAAGAAGGTACTTGACTGACACCTAGGACGCTGACGGCAACCCGTATCAACCATTAGCACCAGTCAATGGTATTTGTGATGCCTTTTTGAATGTTCAGTTGACTGAGTTTCATGTTTAATAAATCAAGTAAATAATAATAATAATAATAATTAATAATAATAATAATAATAATAATAATAATAATAATAATAAGAAGAAGAAGAAGAAGAAGAAGAAGAAGAAGGAAGAAGAGGAAGAGGAAGAGGAAGAGGAAGAAGAAGAAGAAGGAAGAAGAGGAAGAGGAAGAGGAAGAAGAAGAAGAAGAAGAAGAAGAAGAAGAAGAAGAAGAAGAAGAAGAAGAAGAAGAAGAAGAAGAAGTAGTAGTTTCAGTAGAACAGGCTGGGTTATGTTTCAGAAAAGGAAAACTGGAGTTAGGACACCAGGGTAGGTGGGGATCCTTGGAAGAACCGGTGTGAATGTTTATTACTTTGTTCACATGGGAAGCCCCCTCCTCACAGCTCCTTGGGCCCACCTCTCTCATCCAGGTGGCTGCTCTGGTGGAGGAAGAGGGCTTTCTGGATTCGGCTGGGCTGCTTCAGCAGTCCTGGACAAAGACGTGCATGGACACTGCAGACGCCTGGAGTTGCATGGGCTTAGCCATGTGATGAACACAATAACGATGACACAAGAAAAGGAAAGGCCAGCAATGATGACTTTGGCCACCATGTTCTTTTCGATCGCAGATCTCTGATATTCTGGGGGGGGGGGGGGAAGCAGAGAGTGTATTAATCATTCTTGCATGAACAGGATAATTGTGTGAAACCTTTCCTTTCTTTACTCAACAGGTTTCCTAGAGTACAACTCTATTGTGGCTCGCCACAATAATAAAACCACAAACCTCAAAAACAAGAAAGATGATTTAAGGGCTTGGAAGCTAAATTATATGATGAACAGTTGAGGGAATTTGAGGGGCTGCCACAGAGAAAAGGGGGTCAAATTATTCTCCAAAGCCCCTGAAGCAGTGGTGGTATTCAACCGGTTCGTATTCAACCTCTCTAAGAAATCCCCCCCCCCTCCCAAATTCCCAGGCACTGAATCTGGCAGCCTCAAAGCTCCCAAGCAACATGGCTTCCAAGGCTGACCCCCTGGGCTGCTCGCCGGTCTAGAAGCATCTCAGGAGCTTGTGAAAAATATGGATGAATTCGGGAGGTGGGAAGGAAAGAAGGTTGCAGTATTTCTAGCTGCATTCCAAGGGGCTGGTTACCTGCTTTAAGCCCCACCCTGCACCAGACTGGCTGCCTGTCTCTAAGGGGGAGCACATTCCAGGTCCACTCCCTGGGATGCCAGCACTGAAGCCCTGGGGGGTCCCCATGGGTACCCGGTGGATTATCAGGGGAGACTGCCGAGGAGAGGAGAGTGCTGGGCCCCTACCGACACCCCTCCCTGTGTGGCGGTCTCAACCATGGGACCCTGGAGGAGAGAGGCCCCCCCCATCTTTCTAGTAGCAAAGCTGTCTCGTCTCCACTCGAGTAGAATAGAATGGAACGGGGCGGAATGGAACAGGACAGAACAGAACAGAGAATAGAATCTCTTTATTGGCCATGTGTGATTGGACACACAAGGGATTTATCTCTGGTGCAAAGGCTCTCAGTGTGCCTGTTTTTTTGCCTTCCTTGAGCCTCCGCAGGGACCCTGTACTTACCTGGGATCCAAAACAGGCCACGTGGGGGCTCCTGGGAGGGGCAAGGTGGTGTGGGCGGGGCCAGCCAGGGGTGGGATTTGCCGGTTCATGGAACCGGCCATAAAATTAGCTAGTGGTTCAGTACCGGTTCGCCTGAATTGGGGAGAACGGTAGCAGCCCACCCCCAGGCGAGAAGCGGAAGGTTTTCAAGGATAAAAAAACAAAACCCAAGGGAATCCAGTTGCCTTTTAGAAAAACACCTTCGGGACTCCTCCAAAATTTGTGACTTCAGTAGAAGGAAATGCTGCATTGGTGCCGTGGTTAGAGTGCAGCACTGCTGATTGCAGTTTGCCAGCAAATGGGCAGTTCAAATCCCACCAGGCTCAAGGTTGACTCAGCCTTCCGTCCTTCCAAAGTGGGTAAAATGGGGACCCAGATTGTTGGGGGCAAATAGGCTGACTTTGTCAACCGCTTAGAGAGGGCTGGAAAGGCACTGTGAAGCGGTATATAAGTCTAAGTGCTATTGCTATGGCTTATAGGGATGTGGTTTTTTTGGCCAAGCGCAACCGTTGTATTCCACAGTCGTTGTGGAGAGCTGCTCCTTCCTCAAACCTCACCCAAGGCCAACCCTTTCCAGCCTTCTCCCCAGCCAGCCACCATAAAGACTCCTTAAGATGACCACCACTTACGTGGACACGCTTCACTGAGCGTCATGTTTCTGGATACCTTGCTAACAGGGTTTTCCACCTGGCAGCTGACCTCCTGGTCGAAGATTTTGCTGCTGGTGTAGTTGATGGTCAGCAAACTCTCGCGGGTGACATGCGAGGCAAGGTCCTCTGCCACAAACCACTGCAGGTCCAGCTGGTCCCCCCATTTCCCAACAGAGCACATCAGGTGGAACAGTTCTGTCTGACCTCTACTGATTTTGCACTTGATGGACAGGTCTGTGCTCTGCAGCCGTCCTGAGCAGGAGACAGAAAGGACAGGTGGAGTGAAGGACAGCAAGTGAAAGGACCAGGAGCCTGGAAGAAAGATGTAAGACCCCCCACATCCCGGACATATAAGCAGTTTCCACTCCTCCCCTCAAAACGATGCTATAGAGCACTGCACACCAGAACAACTAGACACAAGGGGAGTTTTTTCCTGAACGCCATCACTCTTTTAAACAACTAATTCCTTTCTCCCTTCCTTCCTTCCTTCCTTCCTTCCTTCCTTCCTTCCTTCCTTCCT